AGGGCAGGCAGGGCAGCAGCAAGGGAAGAACTGTAGGATGAGGGGATGAAGACCTGGGACAGAGGGCGGCCAGGAGACTTGAAGACCGAGCCGGGCAGGGGCACTGGGTGCTGAGGGGATGCACCGGTCACAGCGGCAGGCTGCAGGTGGCCATGTGCTGGCTTGGACGGTCTCGTGGCTTCTAACGGCGGTCACAGGGGAAACTCGAGCCAGCAAATGTCAGGCTAACAACAGTGACATCTGGATGGGGGACGCTGGTGTCCGCGTGGGGATGCTATGCCGGTAGCTAACACCGGGAGCTGTGTGCAGGTCTGCCGCGAGTGCCGGAGTCGTGGGCATGGAACGGCTCCTGCAGCCACAGAGAGACGAGATGGCGTGGGCACTCGGGAAGAAAAGCACTCTGAAGAGCTCTGACCTTTACGTGTGAGGGAAGCTGAACCAAGTAAAGCCAGGAACGCTCATCGAAGGAAGACTCTGTGGGGAGGAGAAACCTGCCTGGCCCAGTACTCTGGAAAAGAGATGGAGGGGAGGCTCTGAAGGAGGGGTCAATGTAGGACAAATGCTGCAAACAGGAAAAGGGGTGGGGACCACCTACAGATGGGGAGTTATCAGTGACTATGGGGAAACTTACGTAGAAAAAGCATCATAAGTAAAAAACAAAAACAACCAACCAAAGCCAGAGATGGAGAATATATATCAACCTTCATAGCAAGAGGAACAGGAAGCAGGAGTGTGAGGAGGACTGGAGATGGGAAAGTAATCACTACTCGTACATAGAAAGGGCAGGACACCTGTCCAGGAGAGGTGCCAGTCGTCCGAGCAAATGCACCGTCCCCCCACGGATGCACGGACGCTCGGCTGCTCGCCCAAACGTGAGCAGACTGAGCAAGGCGCGTCTTGCATCGTTACTTTGTTTAAAAGTGATAAACGACTTACACCAGTTAGAATGGCAAAAATTGATAAGGCAAGAAACAACAAATGTTGGGGAGGTTGTGGAGAAAGGGGAACCCTCTACACTGTTGGTGGGAATGCAAGTTGGTACAGCCACTTTGGAAAAGTGTGGAGGTGCCTCAAAAAATTAAATATAGGGGCGCCTGGGTGGCTCAGTCGTTAAGCGTCTGCCTTCGGCTCAGGTCATGATCCCAGGGTCCTGGGATCGAGCCCCACGTCGGGCTCCCTGCTCGGCGGGAAGCCTGCTTCTCCCTCTCCCACTCCCTCTGCTTGTGTTCCCTCTCTTGCTGTGTCTCTCTCTGTCAAATAAATAAACAAAATCTTAAAAAAAAAAAATTAAATATAGAGCTATCCTATGACCCAACAATTGCACTGCTGGGTATTTACCTCAAAGACACAGACGTAGTGAAAAGAAGGGCCATATGCACCCCAATGTTCATAGCAGCAAGGTCTGCAATAGCCAAACTGTGGAAAGAGCTGAGATGCCCTTCAACAGATGAATGGATAAAGAAGATGTGGTCCATATATACAATGGAATATTACTCAGCCATCAGAAAAGATGAATACCCAACTTTTACATCAACATGGGTGGGACTGGAGGAGATTTTGCTAAGTGAAATAAGTCAAGCAGAGAAAGTCAATTATCATATTATTTCACTTATTTGTGGAACATAAGGAATAGCATGGAGGATTAGGAGAAGGAAGGGAAAAATGAAGGGGGGGACATCGGAGGCGGAGACGAACCATGAGAGACTATGGACTCTGAGAAACAAACTGAGGGTTCTAGAGGGGAGGGGGGTGGGGGGATGGGTTAGCCGGGTGATGGGTATTAAAGAGGGCATGTACTGCATGGAGCACTGCGTGTTATATGAAAACAATGAATCATGGATCACTACATCAAAAACTAATGATGTACTGTATGGTGACTAACATAACATAATAAAATAAAAAAAATTTTTTTAAATAAATAGGAGGGAAAAAAAATGAAAGTGATAAACGGTTTACCAGCTACCTCCACGAAAAGAACACACCTCCATCGTGTCATTATGTGATCTCAGATCTTGTATATTCTATTTGCCACAAAACTAGGTTTTCCTTTATGATGAGGCAGAGAAAGGGAATGCTGGTTATGGCTGATTGGCTCTGGGCGCCAGTTCCCGCCTTCCTGTCTGCCAATGGGGGATGGAGAGCTGAGAAACGAAACTCCCAGACTCTGCTGCACGATCGATCCCAGGGACAAAGCAGGCTCCACCGGTGGTTATCGACCCACAGGAGATGCGGAGGACAGCATGAGGCTGGGGCGATCTTGCCACGGTTATCACTGCCAGAAAGCAAGGCTGTGACAGCTGTTACAGCTGGACTTGATACCTCCATTTCTGTTCTTAAGCTTTAAGGGTCGCTAGAGAGGCTGCAACGGTACCACTGGAACCTCACACGCTTCATGGTTGAAGCCCGTGGCAGACCAGCAGCGATTAAAGCTTCCTGCCCTCGGGAGATGCCAAGGTGCCCTTGATGTGAAGAGGCTTCTCAGTGATCGTGGAGGCACCTCGTTTCCTGTCCCAATCCCGTCCTACTCGAAACACTGTGCTTCTCAGCCGACCCCGGAGCAGACAGACTCGCCGTCTAGTTTCTAAGTTCTCTGAGTCCCAAAATCTCATTTCCCCTGGATGATAAATGAAATGTACAGCTTGGCACTGAACTACTCATCAGAGTAGATTGCATTTTACTGCCCCCACGCCCCAAGAAAATCTGAGTTCTGAGCCTCGACAGGCCTGAGGGGCTCACTTCTTACTCGAGCGGAGCATCTAGAACAGGGCTGCCCAAAAGAAGCTTCTGTAAGGATACGGACGTCCTATAACTGTGCTGTCCAAAACAGTAGCCACTAGCCTCATGTGACTAGTGAGCGCTTGACTGCAGATGGCCCAACTGAGGAACTGAAATTATAATTTAATTTAACTTAAAACAAAGGAGCCACCCATGGCTAGAAGCCATACAGTGGACAAAACAGAACTAACATTAGTATGTCCTGAGAATGTCTCCTGCAGGGGTTCCAATCTGGGGCCCATGAATTCCAAGGAGGCCCATCCAAGAATGGTTTTGAGAGGGTCCATGGATGGTCTGAAGTTGCATCAAAAATTGCATACGTGTGCAAGTGCATTTTCCCGAGTGTCGGATGCCTTCATCAGAATCTCAAAGGGGCCTGTCTCATCACAATGTAAAACTTTGTTGTGGAACTGGGACCATTCTCGGAATGGTCAGCACATTCTCAGTTCTAGTAAGATCACTTGGTCCAAAACAGATTGAATTTTCCAGGAATCTGGTACAGGAACAACCTAAGCCCTCCATTAAATAAAGTCTTCATGCACACCTGGTTTGGGCCCTCAACCCTATGCCTCATGGAAATCAATTCTGCCATGGAAGGGCTCAAGCAAGAAACCTCATTAACCTTACTTAGCATGCTATCTCCTTCATTCACGGATTTGCTCACATGCTCATTCATTTATTCATTCATCAGATCTCTAGAAAGCGAGAGGACAAGGAAGGCAAGAAGCAAGCCAATATAGCCTCTAGGCCCTGTGCCAACATGGGGCAGACAGACTAGGAGCCTTTGAGAGGCAAAGGATGCTGGGCTGGAATGGAGGAGAGGCGGCTGATCCCAAGTCTCCCTAAGAAGCAAGTCGACCACTAATCCCCTTGCTGATTGTGCACAGCCAGGTGATGCCTCCCCCCAGGCAGGCAGCTGGGGGTTTACTCTCTAGAAAACAGGAAGCAGAGAGACTTAGAGTCAGAAGCACCGGGACAGGGAAACCACAACGGTAGCAAACGGGCTCATGCGAAAGTGCACACGCCCGACGTGAAGGGTCTGCACCTTCCGGTTGTCACTCCTAACAACCCAGGTGCCATGGCTCAGGACACTGGGCTAACACTTAGAGCAAATGGAAGACAGGAAAACAGCAGAGGCAGGCTGACCTCGCCACAGCCAAGAAGCCAACAGAAAATCAGATACATCAGGAAATGTCACTGGGCCGTTCCAAAGTGCATGCATTTCTCAAGAGGGGAGAAGGAGAGCTCACACTCATCCTTGAACTGTCGCTGCATCTTGTGTTTAAATTCCTCCGCTGAAATTCTACATGAGGTTCAGGCTTCGAGAGTCGCAGGCTGTTCCTGACAGTTCTCGTCGGTGGAAATCGGGGAGCCCTGCATGTAACGTGCTTGTTGAAGTGGGATGTGAAGCTCGCAGTGACAGGAGGGGATTGCTGAACTCTAGAAAGCTCCTGCCCGAAGCTATACATGGCACAGATTCAAAGACTGACACTGACATATATGTTTCTCCAGGATTGAGTGTGGAAAGATTTTATTTTCTCTGGATTTCATTTCAGAGGGCAGCAAAAAATAAGGATTAGGAGACGGTGGTAAAAGCCTAATTTGGGTTTGACTAAAGCTCTCTGTTCTTAAGATTTCAATACTTCTCAGGGGGCCTGGGAGGTGCAATCGGTTAAGCAGCCGACTCTTGGTTTCAGCTCAGGTCGTGAGATCAAGCCCCAGGATGGGCTCCCCACTCAGCGGGGTGTCTGCTTGAGATTCTCCCTCTCCCTCTCAAATACATAAATGAATAAATCTTTAAAAAAAAAGATTCTGATACTTCTCCACAGACCTGAAGATTCTGGGTCATCTTTGATTTTTCGTCCTCTGCGTGTTTGTTTTTAGAAAAAACAGAACTGAAAGCAGTGGGTAAGAACTCCTACAGGGCCTCATTCCCTCCCTATGCTCAAAGCACAAGAAAGCCAGCCGAGAGTCCCCTGCCCGTTTCCACGTGTAACAGCACTCCCAATGGCAAAACCGGGTTTTGTTGTCCCCTTCCAGAGCTCTCTTCAAAAATTTCTGTAGTGGTATCCCCTAAAAGAGTTAAATAACTTTGCAGAAACGAAGCCTGCTGGTCACCGTCCCTTTTATGGCATAAAAGCAATTTCTGCCTCAGCCAAAAGACTAAAAGTAATATATTCAGGAATATGGAGCTTATCACATCTCTTCTGAACAGGAGGAAGATATTAATAATAATGGGGGTAAGAGAAGCCAAGGAAGGCAAAGATGTAAGCCCTCTTAGGAAGGGAGCGGAAGCGCCGGGCGGACAGGTGGAAGGACATGGGGCACCCTGAGGACGGGTGGAAGACCCACACCTTATCCCCGGAGACAATGATCTGGAAGGCACGTAAAGTGATGTGGCGTGTGGGGCTGAAGACGCACGAGCACAGGGCTGCAATGTTGGAGGCGTTACCATGGAGAGCAACTCATACTACATGGCTAATGCTTATAATTGTAGATATAATCACCTCGAGCAGAGTATTAACACAAGAGAGAAAGCACTACAACATCCTCTCTAAACCACAAAAACCCCATCATCATAAATTGGCTTGCTAACCGTCAGCAGTCTGTGGGAGCTTGCAATTCTTCTCAAATATGCGTCTAAAATAATACCACCTCAATCGCGTATATTTTGTTCATTGCCCACTCTTCAACATCAGCTCTTTTACAGATACTTAAAGAACTGACTTCAAGAGAAGTCAACTAGTAGATTAAAAATGATCATTTTAATTACCTAAAAGTGGTCAATTAGCCATGTGTTGAAAAATACTTCAAATCAATTTAATGCATAAAAATAACTAATAAATTGTTATGAAGTACTTTCTACATTTACAGTGTCAAGTAAATAAATGGTCTATAATCAGAATCACCATAATCATAAAAATAATTTAACAGCCACAAAGTGACCATGGCAAATCTCCAGCATTTAGTCCCAGGATGGAGGACAGAAAACACTATATACATAAAACTGTGAAACGATGAGAAATAACTGCCACTAAGCTCACTGTGACTTGAAAAGTAATATTCAGGAAGGCCCCAAACAGAACAAAATCCAAAATCCCCAAAATTCAAGTTAAGAACAAAGAAACAAAATGGGATTTTACTTTTTTGATCAAACACATGATTTTGACCACGGATTCCAGGTAGATAATATGCAACAAACTGTTTATTAAAAAAAATTTTCTTTTTTAGTGTGTCAGGTCTGGAAAAAAATGGACAATCTATTTTCTGATCTGCTCTCTAATGCTGATTTCACTGCTACAGGGTAAGAAAGCACTCTGGAGAATAAGAGCTGATGTGAGCTGCCTTACATTTCTTTGCTATAAAAACAATGTTTTTATAATGTTAATAAACGCTAAAAATTTTAAATATATGCTAAATGTTGCTGCTTCTCATTCTTTTTAAGAACTGGAAAGCTGTGGGGTCTGATGAGTTAACCAACAAATATGTCGAGGACAAGGAAACTAACCCTAGGCATACCTTCACAGCTTAGCTAGCTTCGTTTCTCCATCTATAAAAATCAGGACGCTCTTACTGTTGTCTGTGTTAGGTAATTAACAGCGGTAAAGCACTCTGGAAGTACAAACTGCTAAATAAATAATGACTGCCAAAGAACTTTAATGGTAATGGGCTAAATCATAATGATGAAACATGGGCTTTGAACTCTACCATTTTTGTTTTCAAATTAATAACGCCAAGCAAGACCCCGATCTTGCAATACGGCTTTGCCTAGTATTAGGCAGCAGGTTTAATGTAGGGATTCGAAATCACAGGAGGGATCTTGTGTTTCCAAGAGCAGTTGATTCAACTTCACATGTAGTAGTGAAAATAAGGTCATGTTCTATTCCCGTGGCCGCAGATATATCATGCCTGTGTCTACTTTTTGGCTAATTCCCGCTGGAGGCCATTTTACTTGAAAATGCCCCAATCAACTTTTGATGAATTTCCTTTTATTTCACATTGATTTTGAAATCCTAAACCCCAGTAATGTTTTAAACTAGTTTTCTAGGAATAAATGACACAGACGATGTTCACCTACAATCACTGCTCTCTACCCTTCCCACTCATTTGGACTACAAGATTTATGAGATCGAGATTATTAGCTCAGTACTGTATGGTGACTAACATAACAAGAAAAAAAGGAAGAACTTTTGATGCTTCTTACACTTGCTTACTAAAGAGACAGGATGATGAGATTAGCACCACTTCTATGACCTTGCAAACTTTCCATTCCAATGGTGGTAGGAGCATGCCATGATGGCTAAAATATGGGCCAAGAGAGCTAAATTTATTCATTCATAACTAGTCTTGTTTTTTCATATACATTTAAAATAATTAATGAATGTCATGAAAATAAAAAAACAAACCAACCAACCCAAAAAATTTAGATCACGGAAAAATGGGAAAATCTTACAGATCAGACTTAATTCTTTCTCACTGAAAATATAACATATAAAAATACAGTGTTCTATCTCAATGTAAAATCTCATCATGGTTCCGCTTATAAATTATAATGTTCTCTGAATTATCTGCACAATTATAAAAAAAGGAGCTATAAAGGAGAGTTTAAACATCATTAAACAACATATAACATATATATTTGGGGAGAAAGTCATCTCCAGTGACTATTTCAAGGTAAAATTAAACATCTACGGAAGAAAACAAAGTAAAGGGTATTATTCACATTAAAATGCAAATATATAATTTTATCCTCTTAATAACCAAGACCTCAAATACCAGTTCTAGTGACTCGTATTAATTTAATTGTGACATTAGCTTTTATAATCATAGACGTAAAAAGACCACTGTGTTCCAAACATAATTATCACACCAGTATCTCATCTCATGAAATTATTAGTTAAGATGAGAGCCTCTGAACAAATTTGTATTTGATTAGTTTCGCTTATTTAAGAACACTGAATAATTTAAGATCTGTTTAAATGGAAGGAAAGCGGAAGGGGTTATTTTGGAGAAGCACCATGTGTACATTTCCAGACGGACCCTAAGCTCTCCGGGACGGCTGTGAACCCAGCGTACCTTCCAGGTGAAGCCACATCAGCCTGCCCTTCACACTGACAACAGAGGCCACGCAGAGCTCTCCTGGGTTCCTGGGGTTGACAGCTTCAAGCTTCATGTTCTTCATGAAACCCCGACTGAATGATGTCTGAAAGAGAGAGAGAACGGACACTGAGCCAGAGGACAAGGCAGCAGGTGCAGCAACAGAGTGGCCCGCGGGCGAAGCGGGGATGCATGAGCACGTACGCACTGGCACACAGAGCTCATCCATCAGACACGGGCTTTCCCACCATTCGTCGGAAAAGAACTGGTACACAGCAGGTGCCTACTAGTATCTGTTGAAGGAGAGGATATGTTATCTTCCCAGTCCCGCATGCGCCCTGACTTCCACACAGTCACTGAGGTGCACAGCAGGTCTTCTTCCTTCCCTGTATCCCTCACTCGCAGCGCGCCTGGGCGTATCCGTGCGTGTGAGGAGTCGGCCTGAGTCTCCATCTGGCATCATTTCCTTCAGCCTGAAAAACATTCTTTAGCGCAGTTTCTAGTGCAGGTCTGCCGGTGGCGAATTCCCATAGTTTTACCTGAAATTGTCTTTATTTTACATTTGCGGTTTTTGGCTTACTTCTATTTACTTTCTCAATTCACTTTTTTAAAAATTTACATAGGAACATTCACTCTTTTTGCTGCCCTGTTCCCTGAGGGTCGGCTGTTAGAGAAACGCATATAGTCTTGCGGCCATAACCTCTATCAGCGTGCAGAGCAGTCCCTTCACCTCCAAAATACCTTTGCACTAGATCTTTGAAGATCAATCCCTCCCAGACTCCCAATTTCAGGACCATGGACCTGTCTTCTGTTCCTAGAGTTTTGTCTTTTTCCATGAGATCACATCAACGGATCCATACACTGTGCAGTCTTGCTTCTTCCACGGAAGCAAAATGCATTTGGGATTCATCCATGCTACTGCACAAATGGGCAGTTCATTCTGTTTTACTGCTGAGTATTTTCTATAGCTGTGCCACAGTCCATCCATTTACCAGTTGAAGGACATTCGAGCTGTGTCTAATTTCTGGTGATTGTGAATAAAGCCGCTATAAACCTTCAAGCACAAGTTTTTGTGTGAACAGAGTCTATTAGTCTGCTTGGAATGCCATAACAAAATAACACACACTGGGTGGCTTTAACAATAAAAATTTGTCTCGCTGTTCCACAGGCCGGAAGTCTGAGATCAAGGCATCAGCAGGGTTGGTTTCTTCTGAGGACGCTCTCCTTGGCTTGAGACAGCCACCTTTTCTCTCTGTCTCCAAACAGTCTTTCTTCCATGTACACGGTCTGTGTCCTAATTACCACTTCTCATATGGACACCAGTCATACTGGATTAAGGCCCACCCATATGGCCTCACCTTATCTTAATTGTCTCTTCGAAAACTCTAACTCCAAATATAGTCACATTGTGAGGTACTATGGGCTAGGACTTCCACTGTATGAATTTGGGGGGAATACAATGCAGCCTATAATGCAGCTTTCATTTCTCTAAATATGGAATTGCTGGACCACATGGTAAATGTATGTTTAACTTCCTAGGAAACCACCAAATTGGTTTCCATATATCATGTTGCATTTCCATCAGCAGCGTGCAGCACTCCAGTGGCTAAACATCCTCACCAGCACTTGGTATTGCCACGTTTTCCAATTTTAATCATCCTAATAGGTGTCCCGTGTTCACTAATCACAGCTTTAACTTGCATCTTCCCTATTGCTAATGATGTCGAGCATTTTTTCACACGTTTCTTTGTCATTTGTCTATCTTCCATGGTGAAGTGTCTGTTTCTCTCTTCATTCAGGAAGCATTAGCTTTGGTGGTTTATTTCTTTCAGTACTCTACAAACACTGGTTTGCTGTCTTCTGGTGTCCCTTGTCTATGATGTGAAGTTCACTGTCATTCAAACTGTTGTTCCTCTATTTGGGATCTATTATTTTCTCTCTGGATGCTTTCAAGATTTTTCTCTTTATGTCTGGTTATCAGCAGTTTGACTAGGTTGGGCTTCTTCGTATTTATACTAACTTGGGGCCCACAGAGATTCCTGAACCTGTGCATTTAGTACTTCCAGCTACTTTGGTAACTTTTGGGCATTGCTTCTTCATATATTTTTTATTCCATAGTCTCTGTGGCCATTTCTTCTGTGTCTCCAACTACACATGATATCGTCCCTCAGGTCCCTGAGATTCTGTTCTCGTTCCCCACACCCAAGCTTATTTTTCTCTCAGTTCTTCAGATAGGATCAAAATCATCAACCCTTTCCCCTGTCACCTCCATTCTGCTAGGAAGCCCTTCCAATGAATTTACTTATTTTAGGTATTTTATTTTTCAGTCCTAGAATTTCTCTTTTTTACACCTTCTACTTCTCTTCTGGCACTTCCTACCTTCTCATTCATGTTTTCCTTCTCAAACGTTAGGGTACATCTGAATCACCTGGAGAACCTTTTAAAAATGGACTGCTGTGCCTTACCCCAAAGTTTGTGACTCATTTGATTTGAGGTAAGGCCACAGAATTTGTATTTCCAACAAGTTCCCAGGTGATGCTGGAGCTGCTGGCCTAAGGACCACACTTTGGGAATCACTGCTTTGCACCAAGCTTAGTTTTAATGGGAGCTTTAAAATACATGTCTGCTAATTCCAACATCTGAGTAATGTTGGTTTGGTCTCTGTTGATTATCTTTTCTACTGAGAATTTTCATATTTCTTCATGGGCTGAGCAACTCTGAAGTCTGGATGTTTAAAATGTTATGTGGTAGAGACTCTGGATTGTGTTATGTTCTTCCCAAGAGTGTGGTTTTCTGTTTTAAGCAAGCAATTAACTTGTCTGGACTCAAACTACACACGCTGTCTCCTGAGAAGGAGCTCAAACCTCAGCTCAGCCTTCCGTCCTTAACTAGGCTGCCTGGAAGTTTGCCTGGAAAATACACAATCCAAGGATCAGCCAAAAATTTAAGCAGAGTTTATACACAGAATCTGTGCTTCCCTCTCCTGGCTCTTCCCTATCTGAGACTCTTCTCACTTTCCAACAGTTGCAGTTGCCCAAATTCCGTTATCTGGTTCATCAGGCCAGAAAGACTGTAATTTTTATATTACTGGTTTTGTCATCTCATACGTTGTCAACTGTCAAAAAAGTCTGAAAAAAAAAATCACACAATCACCCTATAATGTTTCTTCCAAGCACCTGCTCCCCTCCAGATCTTCTCACTTCTGTTCATTCTCCACACCCCCAAGGTAGTTGTTTTGGTATCCTGTCCAGAGTCTATAGTTGCTATCTGCCAGAGGATCAATTCAGCATGAGCTCAGCCAATACTCAAAGCAAAACTCCCTCCTAGCATTATTTTTAAATAAATATAAGATTTTCCAAAATCATCCACTACTATAAATTTCAACCAGACATTACAATACTGTAATATATCTATTTTGAAATACATAAACTGAGATTAACAGGTTCTTGTAAATAACAGAGATTACATCCTTATGTGACCCATGGGAAGACACCAAGGTTATTCACATTCACGTCTCTTTTTATACAGGTTAAGTTGCAAATGCAATTACACCTTTATCTAACCAGGACAAAATTATCCAGTGTATGTTGAGAAAGCAATTTGCACTTTTCCTTTATGTTTCTTTGGAAATAGGAAACACAGAAATTCTAGGTGGGCTATTTTTCTGCAAGTCATCCTGCCCCATCCATACATACTATGTATTGAGCTTCTTTTTGATAATATGACTCGACAGACTGCCCGAAAAGCCTCTAAGTAAGTCAAAATGTTTTTTTATCCTACTTAATAAGGGAAAACTACAACCGCATAACCTATTTTCATTTCAACTCACTGCTTGAGGGTAATTTATAAAGATCAATAGCAAAACTGTTACCTGTGAGTTTATTTTACTAAGCATTTGGCTGTGTCAATCCATTTCAGCATTGCCTCTGATTGTTAAACATCCCCCGGGAAATCCACTTCCACACCACCCCTCCTCTAGTACACACAAGATGTGTGATTAAAAAAATGAATTCATAATAAGCATTCCATTAAAGAGCACTTGTAGCAAGCTAACAAATTCAGCAAAGCACCAGTAATGCAATGCACACGCCAACAGGCAGATAACAATCCTGTCGATTAAATAAACGGAGGGCCAGAAACAAAACGGGCCATATTTGTAACAAGTGCATTCCTAATGAATATGCCAGCATATTCATTAAAAGAGATTTCATCTTGGTAGCTAAATCCTGAAAGCTCAGAGGCCACCTGGGGATGTGGCTGCTTGTCCACGATTAAATTGCACATAGCCAGCTGCTGATGGAACAGGAGCAGAAGACGGACGGATGGAAAGCAGCTGCGGTGGAACTGTGTTGTCAGAGAAGAAACAACTCCCCACCTCCAAAGCTAGGGGACACGTCAGGATTCTCCTCCCTCCCAAGGCTGGAGAGGCAGGGAAGGAATATTTCTTTTGTCAGGTAGAAAGCGCAACTCCAGAGGGGTTTGGGGATGTTTTGATAAATATTTCCACGATCCTAAGTGAAAGGCAACGAGGCCAGGACTCTGTGACAAGTGATGTCACTGTGGTAAAAAGTCTAGTGAGACGCACTGGGACTTGATAAGCCCCGGGAGCTGACCCGCGGCTATCCTCATGGTGGCGTGCCTCCACGGTGTCCCTGTCCTACCTCCTCAACTCACCACACAGATCTTTCCATGCTGCAGAACCACCTTTGTGCAAACGCAGTGTCAGCCAGGAGAAAGTCCCTTTGGTCATTTCTGGAGCCCTGCTTTCCAGCTCTGCCGCTGATGTGTTTCCACATATGTTAAGTACAAGCCGGCCCGCTGATCAACCTACTTCATTCTTCAAAATCCGCCTCTGACTGATGCTTACTATTGAGCTTCTCTATGAAGCCAACCCCTCTGCCTCTTAGTTCTCGTATGCTATTAGCCCCACAGTACAAATTATAGGGGGTGGCAAGGAATCAGCAGGTCTAGGAGCACATGTCCAAAAAGTCTTTGATTTGGGGGCTCTCTGCACTGTACTATCTGCAGTCCCCAGTTGGAGGATTGAATCTTTTTTTTTTAGCATAAAGAATTAACTTTCATAACTAAATGCATGTTTAACACAGGAAGCTATATATTTACACCTCATTCTCAAAACAGAAATAATAATCCAGATCTCTTTTCATAGTTCCTAGGGTTGATAAGGTTTCAATGAATAATTTATAAGCTGCTTTATACAACCAACTCCTACAACTAAACAAGTACACATGTGTGAACACACACACACACACGGACTCACACAGTGCTATTTTATGGGCCATCAGGCCAACAGCTCTATTTGAACCAGGAGGTGGCTTAAAGTAAGCAAAGCAGAGAACTGTTGGACTGGCATCTTATTGAAGTAATCCAAGAAAAGAAGTTGATGATCATATATTGAGACTATACCTCAAGAGCAGAGAATCTCCTATCAATGGGCTTATCAACAGTATACTCCACACAGCAAGTGCATATGTAACGTGTCCTCCTTTCTCTATAGTATGGACTCCTGGCTGACTTAGTATGGACTCTTGGCTGCAAAAAGCCACACGGCCATGGCACATTTCCTAGCCTCATTCATGGCAGGTGTGGCCGAGGGACTGGTTCTCACCAATGGAAGGTGAATGGAGTAACATGTCAATATCAGCTACAGTGTTTAGAAGTAAGACTAGCTTCTTTCACCCCTTTCCCTTACCTGCTCACTAGATTCAGATGATGAAGCCAAAGGCTCACTGGAGGCACGCACTCATCAGGAACACACTGGACCCTTCCGTAAGTGAGAACTGACTGACCTTATCCGGAACCACCATACATTTAGCGGTGGATCTGTTACTACAGCCCAGAGTCACGCAGATACACAACCTGAAAGAGGACTTTTTCAAAACTACAAAAGCTTTACGATCCTGTGGTACACGGCAGCACTCTAATCTTGCTCAGGAATAGAAAGCAACTTACAAAATTTATGGTGATAAAAGGAGTCGCAAGAACCAAGCTGCTTACATTTCTGAAGCAGAAGGGAGGTGCTTCTTCTGTCCCATGCTGCTTGTGATAATCCGCCCAGTCGAAGTCCTGGCCAGAGTAACCTGTACAGGATGAAACACAGACAAAACAGCGTTCATCAGGCTAAAGCTCAGACCAAATGAACAGCTTTAGAGGTTGTCACTCATTAAAATAATAAGCGGTCCAAGAATAGGGCCCCAAAGGGTGAAGTCCTCTCCTATTCCGGACAGCATGTCAGATTTTCTAAGGAGCATGTGGGAAAATGTAATGTACTAAATTCTGATAAGGTATACCATCATTATCATAATGTGGGGCCTGAAACCAGGTAAAGGGTGGAATTTACCCACATCAGCACATGCCAGGGGAGGGGGGACAGATCTGCTTTGGGGGAGAAGAGGTGAGACAGGATATTATACACCATACAACCGCAAAATGCATTTGCAGAAATATACAGGAATAACTCCCTCCACGTAAATCCTGAGTTCACATGAACTTGCTTCTCAATATCTTCATGGAAACCATGAGACTTTATTGGAAAACACCACCCAGGGGATGGTTTTTTAAAGAGTAACAGAAGGTAGAATAAATAGAAAACAAGGAGTTGAGGCTTTCCCGAGAAAGCCTCAAAAGGCACAAAGGGCAACAGCAGTCCTGCTTTAGGATCGCACCGCGGAGGAGGAAGGAAAGCGAGAATCGGCAAAGACGGGCCTCGCCAGGTGAGGCTCTGGGGACACATCAGAGACATGGAAGGAGGAGTTCGAGAAACATTTATTCCTACATACTAAACTTAATGCAATACAGATCTTACCACAGCTGTTTTTTTCCCTTCTTTATTCATTTCACGTGGCAGGAGGGGCACAATTAAGAGTATATCTGTCATGACCACCATGACAAGACATGGGAGAAGGTCTTGGGAAGATCATCACCATGCCAAGACATGGGAGAAGGTCTTGGGAAGGTCGTGGGAAGAGAAAACGGTTCCAAATCATAAAGTAAGCACAGCATTGGGTGTACAGTTTAACCAGGATAGCATAACACCTCCTCCTGTGAGTGTCATTTGCATTTCCCGTGAACAAAGGATAGCAATGAAAGCGAAGAGTGTAGTGCCAATTGGGATAAAAAGGAAACTGTAAAATGTCACCATAACCTTCACTTGAGTGTTCTCTCTTGATGGTTTTAATGGAAAATAAATCCACAAGGGAGTTCTTAAGTATGTTTTTGAGCCAAGTCCCCATCTTCTCTTCCCCGTATCATCGTAAATCCTACACCTGCAAATTCACTTAACATGGGGACTTGTAGTTACTAAATCCCATAGCAGCAGAGTGACTGCAGAAATTGTTCTTTGAAGAAAGTCAAGATACCAGGTGCCTCCTACCTCCATTTGTACTCCCAAGTACCAGGTAGTATTTTCTTTTCATTAAGGAAGCTCAATCTACCCAGTTTCTTTAGAAGATGGGAATGGGGTTAACCAAGAAAGCACCTGTCCTCCTCTGGCCCAGGGCCTAACGCTTGGCCCTCCCATCCCCTGCTGACCATCAGTGACAGAAGTACCCCCCTTTCTTCCTAAGACATGCCGGTCATTCTATAAAGGCTGACAACTCCTCATTTCTTTCCAATAAGGAGACAAAAAGTCTTATAGTTTTGAGATGCTGTACTCTTTCTAGAGTTTCAAAGAGATTCTGAAAGTTTTTCCACCTGCCCTTGCCCCCAGCCCCTCTCTCCAGAGCCAGATGGAGAGTTCTGGTAGGGGTTTCTAGAAGGGACCCCCTCATCAGAGGTTTCTGGAAGGGACCAAACCAACTTTTTTCTGAACACTCATAAACAAAACATGTTTTAGACAAGATAATGCAAGTTTCTTTACAATTAATAAAACCTCCACTTTGAGAATGGTTTCTCTGGAGCTGTTTTGGATCAAATCTTTACATTAATGTGTAAGAACAAAAGAATTTGCCAAAAGACAGCTCAAAATGCTGAGAATCTACGTGACGTATAAAAGGAGGACATTGGGATTTTAGAGCCAGCTCTATCAGGAACTGGGTGAAACAAGGCGAAAGCAAATGGAATCTTCTGTGCCTGACTTCCCTTATTCACAAAACAAAGGGAAGATCTTTAAGGCACCTCTAGCTGTTGCATTTCGTAATTCAGAGTCACCATTATTCATTATTTTACCGTGGCTACTTAGGATTTTTTCCCCTCCTTCTGTGGTAAATTCCTTCCTCTTCTCCTATGAAAAAAGTATGGCAGGGTAGATAAAGAAAGGTTATGAAACAAGATAATTCCTAAAAGCTCTCCACGGAATAGCTGAAGACAAGATGAATCCTGCAACAGAAGGACCCCATTTGTTTAGGGTTGTGGCAGACTGACTTTGCTAAGGCCAGGATCTCCTTCCGTTTCGATGTCTCTTCCCTGGACCTCTGCTGCTTAGTTACTTTCGTGAGCCGACAAAAATTTCATCAAATTATGGGGGAAGAGGGGAAATAGGAAAAAAAATATAGATGAATGACAAGCCATTTTCTGATATACCATGGAAATCTGGGTATTCTTTATGGTCAGATAAAACTTTCCAACATAGAAGTCACCTCTACTCCCCCTACAGAGGCATTTAGCTAGGCTTTCTATAATCATGTTTATAACCATGAACTTCCCAGGGGCTTCAACCCACTCCATCAAATATCATGCTCTATGGTTTCTTAGACCTACAGTCAACCCTTCTATATCCAGTCTTCCAGACTCTCTCTATGGGGAGCCATTTTTAATCTAATAATTTTAAGATATAACCCAAGTCTTGCTGGATACCTACGCAACAATGGATGATTTTGCCCCCAGAGCTTTTCATTTCCTTGAACATTTGAACAGCCTAGACTTCTCCTCCTCCTCTTAGGGACCTATATTCACTTCATCACTTAAAATTCTTTTCCTTCAGGCTGATAATGAGCTCGCTCTTTGTAAGGCAGTTTTGTGACAGCCCAGAATATAACTGCTACACAAAAACAAATTGCTCTGGTTTGTATAATAGAGACAACAGGGGTCAATTATACTCATTAATCAACAAAGACAGAACAAGAAGTACTGAGGCTTAACTGTGGCTAGGAAAACATGTTGTAAAACCAGGAGGGAGGAAAATAGCAGAGGGGAAAAGAAAATAAAAGGAAATCAAAACCCCTCGGGCTATTAAAATCTGCAACAAGCTGCCCCAGGGAACTGTTGAACCATGGCCACTGGAGTTATTTAAGCTTTTATTAGTGTTTATTCTGAACGAAGTTCCAACTGTTACAGGTCCAAAAGAGAACAGGTCGTTGACCCATTTCCTTGTGATACAAATTAATTGGCACAAAACAGCCCCACTTGCAAACATTACTATTGGTCCTGCAAGTGGATAATCCTTTTAGAAAACAATTTGGCAGTAAAAGTGTTCACGAACTTTGACAACAATTTCACAACAATTTAAAAACAATCCTAAAAACTGAAAAAGTATCCTACATTAAGATACAATGGCATTATTATTGGTAATTCTGGGGATGGAGACCACTTTATATCCCCAAATCAGAAGGGAAAGGAAACTCATCCAAGGTCCATGTGAATCATAGGGGAAATTGCACATAGTTTGTAAAAAAAAAATATGAACACATTACTGCTATAGGTTTAGATGGAAAGACTGCCTGGCACAGCATGTATAGAATTATCACATTTATATAAAAGTATGCAAAGAAAAAGACCAGAGGAAATGTAAGGAAAACTTAGTAATGGTAAATATCAACATGGTTATCTGGATGGTGGGACTTGTGGATATTTTTTTCTTCTATCTCTTTGTATTTTCCAAGTTTTCAATAATGATCATAAATTATTTCAATAAAAACTATTTGAATGTGTAGCACCTTTGCTCCATTTTAAAAGATAAGGCACTAGTCAATCAATCAAGAGCTAATTCCACATGGAGGATACACCATGACCACCTCCCAAGAGCCAACCTCCAGCTTCTCATTTGCTAACAGAATCCTGAGTTTATCCAGTTCCTACAGGAGGTTAGGACTCTCCTCAGCACCAGGAAGTGAATCATGACAACCTCATATAATCATGGTGGTTTAGACACAGAGAGTAAGAGCTGCTCGTCGATGCTGAGTGAATACGAAAAAAAAAATTGTACAATCTTCAAAAATACCATTAGCAAAAAAAAATATCATCTTTGCCATCTACCTTACTGGCAAAATGAAAGATAATAATAAGAAGCTACCACTGCAAAGTCTGTTGGAAAACAGGTGCTTTTATGCATTTCTGGTTGGCACAGAACTCAAAAAACCGCTGCAGATGCCAAGTGGGCAATGTGTCAAAATCTTTAAGAAGGTGTCTACTCTCCACTAGCCATTTGCTCATTCACATATTCCATCATTTAAAAGCACTTAGTAAGTGCATGCTCCATGCCAGGCACGGTTCCAGTACTAGGCACGCAGAAGTGAACAAAACCAGCAAAAACCCTTACCCAGGCAAGCTTACGTTTCAGTGAGAGGAGACACATAATGCACAAATATAAAAAGTCAGATGATCAGAGCGTTATAGAGAGAAGCAGAGAAGGGGCAGAGGGAGGGATGAAAGTCTTGAGGAAAAGCTGAAAGTCCGAGGAACTGAAGAAGCAAGACTTGTGGCCATGTGGGGCAAGGGCAGGCCAGGGGGAGGGGCCAACAATTGGGAAATTCCAGGAGCATGTCTGGAATGTTCTAGAAAGAGCAAGGCGGGGGGACTGCAGGGCTGGTCAGAATGAGCTGGGGTGAGAACAAGGCAGTAATTCCACTATGGAGCATCCTACAGAAATAATAGGATGCTGTGCAAACATTTTATGCATCAAAGCAGACGAGAACAATACACACAAACAAGAGGGACGTGTTTAAGTCATTTATTTATCTGCAAATCACGGAACTTTCCCGTCATTTAAAGCAGGAGACATTTTGGCATGTAAGTGGCAAATCAGTGTGTATAAAATAATTAAATCAATACACAAAGTTACATATTCTGGGAAACAGAAATCTAAAAGAATATACACCAAAAGTTGTTTCTTCAGGATAGGAAGCTTCTTTTTTCTCCAAATTTT